AGAGAGAGAGAGACAGAGAGAGAGAAATTACATAAGTTGAACTTTTTTTTCTGCAGCATTTTATTTTATTTTAGTCTACAAAGGGCAATACAATCGCTTAAAGTACCTCTCATATATATACAGAGGGTCCGGAGTGTACCTGAAAAAGAAAAAGGTCAATTTCAAATTTAACTTTTAAATTCTAAAATTTGAAATCCTATTTGTAAAGTGTTTGTTAATTTTATATTTTAAGCTCCCTCGATTGTCCTTTTGTGAACCAAATGTGGCAATCTAACCAACGAGAGAAGAGCTGGTTACTGAGGAGCAACTGTAATGGGACCAGAAAGGTCATGGAAAAGGTAAATGGAGCGGGTAAAGCAAAAAGACAATAACTGCAAAAGGGATTTGAAAATGCAAGGTGAAAATGGAAACAGAATAAAGCATAACATTTTTAAATGTGTGATAAAGAAAGGTAATTGGGTTGATGCTGCAAAAATATGAATTGTGTTTTTTAAATAATCATTTAGAAATAGGATTTTAAAATACATTTTCAACATGCAGTATTTAATAGTTGAATAATAAATGCAATTTACAGTTCCTCTTTAATATTTTTCTTTTTAAAATGTAAAATTGATTTGAATGATTTCAATGATAAATTTTCAAGTAGTTATTTTTCTTCTTGGGCCTCCATACTCATAACCCTTGCCACTTTACTTGTGTGAGGACAGTTCACCTCAAACTGCATCGCTGGTATTTTCCCTTACAGTAAACAGAGACAGCAGCATGAAGGAATTCACCTTTCCCCAGACAGGATGCTGACACACATGGTTTTACCCTTGTTGAAAATATGTAACCCAGGTCATATGAATAAAGGGGGTTTCACCAAAATTTTCTGTGTTGTCAGTAGGTGGCGCCAAAGCTTAACTATTAAGGTTTAGGTCCAGCCAATGGCTGCTCTGACTGTAGTGGTGTCATATTAGATGTGCAAATGAACTCAGTAGGAGGAAGGAACAGTGAAGGTCTACAAGTATCATCCATGAGCACAGATAGATGGCCTATGGCTCAAAGCCAACAAACATATTTTTTCTGCATGAATTCAACAGCAGGAAAGTAGTTCTGACTGCTTGACCTCTGTCAACAAACTCCTTTCAGGTGGATACAGTCCACATCTGGGTAATGCGTCACTGTTTTTAAGTCTAGACTGATGGAAAAAGAATTGCCTTTCAAAAAAACTGCCCTACAAAACTATTTATATGTTGATGTTTTTTACCTTTTGCCACATTTCATTTCAATTTAAAGTCAAAATGACTGTATTATTAACAAAAAAAAACGTTCTTTAGAATAATCAGAAACTTGACCTACTGTTCTGTTTCACAGTTTGACCAATCTGAAAAGGACTGCCGTTAGAAATCAGGAGATTTGGAATTGGAGCCTGTCTGTGTACAAACAGCCATTTGAAAGAGAACATACATGAAAACACACGATTAACACTGCATTTAAATATAAAGAGGCCCACGTTAACAATAGCTATTAGTTTTGAATTTTTACAGAAGTCTGGCATGATGAAGAAAATTTACTTCAAACCATATAGGCAAACAACAAACATGTTGAAAAGGTTTTGATCAGATGAGACTAAAATTAAACAATGGCTCTCTGTGGTAGGAAACTAATATTTCGCATCACCCTGAACTCAGCTTTCCTAATAGGAGTGATGTTGTCAGTATCAGGCTGTGGAAATGCTCTGTGTCATGATGCTACAAAAGACTTAAGACTTGGATAGAGGTTTAGCTTCCTGTGGTGTAAAAACACTAAACATACAGGCCGAAGTCAAATTAATATATATCTATAATAGCTGAGTCATAATCCAGACCTGAACCCAACAATCTGTGGCAAGACTTGAAAACATCATATGATGTCTATCTGACAACATCATATGTTGTCTACGCATGTGATAGGTGTTTTTTTTTTCAATAGAGAATAGGCAGAGTTTAGTCTCTAGCCGGGCAAATCTGATGGAGACCTATAACCAAAGGCTTTAAGCCATAATCTTACCAAAAGGGGGTCCTACAAAGAATTTACTTTGAGGTCTTGAATAGAAAGTTGCATTACATTTTCCAGAGGCTGCACTAAAAAGGAAACATTTCTCATCAACTCTTTTCCATTATGCACCAAATTATATTAATCTACCACAGACTCACCAATTAAAATTGATAAAAGTTTGTCATTCCAAAGTGACAAAGCATTATAAAACTAAGGCTAAAGGCTTCT